ATTATTGCATCGTTTTTCTGTGCAGAAACTTTGCAAGCTCACATTTACCATGTCACATTTAATGTTTTGAAACAGTGGAATAAGGATAGATTAGGAAGGGAAAAGCATATTTTCATCCTACAGGGGACTTATAAGACAGAAGTGACAATTCATCCAGCACCTGATGCTACCTTGAAATTACAGCAATGGACCTCCTCAACATTTTTCAGAGTTTACTGTATTGTATCAGGTAAAATTTATGATAAAATAAGTAACAGCAGTCATTATTGATCATCTGAAAGATAATGTGTCACCTAAAGCCTTGGTCATGTTATAATATCTGGTTGCACAGCCCACATCTTTTGTTCTGACTAAAAATACCCAGATGAATACCATCACATGCTCTGCAATATACAGACTAAACAATTTTTAAGCTGAGACAGGAAAAAAAATTAATTTTTTTTTTTTTTTTGGTATTCCTTCCTAAACAATCTTAACACTGATTTCATTACTTCATAAAGAACATCTTAAAGTTAACACCAAAATTTTCTGTTGAAAGGTATCATTCTCCATGTTTGATCTAGTTGCATTTGTCCCCATAGTTCATATGGGGCATAAGAATTTCTAAGTAAAACATGCAGAGGTAGTGTGAATTTCCTTTCGATAATCTGTGATTTGTGACATCACTGCATTACTTTTCCATATCTTACTGAGCCAAGGAAAAGAGCTACAAACATTCAAGAGAGTCAAGAAGGCCACGATGAGGTTAAATTGCCCCTAATTTGACTTATCCAAAACTGTATGACTAATTGGATGTTAACAAACTGCTATACATGTTAACAAATTGCTAGGCGAAATAATCTTTAAAATTCATCTATACTGAACACCAAGAGCAGCCTTAGGTTCAGGAGACATACTTGATACCAATTTTCTTAAAATTAAAACTGTAAAAATTATAGAAGATACAATATAGTCCATAATTATCATTATTAGACACACAAAGAGATACATCTCATAAAAGCTATAGGTAATAGAGGATGTGAACCAGAAGCAATTTAGGACTTTAAAACAGATAAACATGACTTGAAGCGAAGTGCCATATCATTTGTGGCTGATTCCTGAAACACTGACAGTACAAGCAAGACTCAACAGATGTGTTCTCAAAATTATTCATTACCTGTCAGAAAAGAAAATGTGGCTTAAAAGTATTCTTTGCTTATGCTTCTTTGCTCCTACCCTTCCCCTAAGATAAGGGGTTTGAGATCAGACAAAAAAGTGAATGCTACAAAGGCAGTGTCAAAATAAAATAACCTCTGTGTGGACTTATGGCTTACCTGATAAAGAAACAAATTCTGGAGTTGGTGAAGTGAAGCAATAACAGTGCATGACTGCAAAGCAGCTAGATTTTGACTTTCAGTTTGACTTTCTGCAAAGTTATCTTCTACATCAGTGAATAATTAAAAAAAGACAAAAAAGGACTTTATCACGTTTGATCTCTGTAAATCAAAGAAACTAGAACAACACACAGTGGCCAAGCTTCTCAAAAGCAAGTCAAGGAGATCATTAAGTCCCAACTGACAATCACCTCTTTATCATAAAACACAGATCAAAGCAACACAATGTAAATAATAATCAGGTGAAAGTGTTAGCACTTCCAAATTGAGTCTTTTCATCACAGAGAGATGTAGATGCTCAGCAGCAGGTCTAGCCTTGGTCTAAGTTCAGAAGTTGAAAATGGAGATGTAGAAGAAAGCTTTAGTGTCCTGATGTGAACACTCCTGTTAATGTTCAGTACCTAAGGATGTGTCTAGGCATTTAGCATACAGCAGCGGATTGTGACAAAAAGCTAGTCTTCAAGGAAGAATTCGTAAGATTCTCACAGTTCTGCACGTTGTCTGACAGTGCCGGAGAGCTGGTCTGCCATTATTCACCTTATTGCCGATTAAATTCTTGTGTTGATTGTACAAACACTGTTTCTCATTGCTTGCACACAAAGGACGGAGACCTGCAACCTGTGTGGACCTCCAACAACCCCTGTACTAGCAGAATCTTCTGATGACCTACTGCAGGATACCCAAGGGTTTAAGATTTAAAGAAAAACTCCATTTAGTACAGGCTGGAAAGCAAAGGTTGCTGACAAACAGTAAAAAGTTTCAAAGTGCAGAAGTCACAAGAAGGAGATTGGCAGACGATACCACCTACTGTTACAAATAGCATCCTTCTTTGCTTTCCAGCCCTGTAGCTGCAGGATAATATACTCTTATCATCGACGCTGTGAGACATTTTTCAGACTGGAATTCTCAAAGGGCTGGAAGGAATTAAGAGGGGAAAGAAAAAGACAGAGTTTTCTGCACAAATTATCACTGTACAGATTTGCTGTTAAGAGCAGGTGCTTCTCAGAGCTGCAAAATATTCAGTATTTCACATAAAGATCTGATTCTCTGCTATAAGTGCAGTTTAGAAGCCAACTCACCAAAACCTCTATCAAAAATACAATTTTAACATCTGTTTCGACTTTCACTTATCTCACTGCTCCCAGACAATATTGATTATCATTATCTGCAAGTCTCCAGTATTATAAACAGCAATGGCTAAGGGAAACAGAAATGAGCTTTTACATATAAAGACATGTAGGTACTTCTAGGGGAGAATGAAAACTGTCATGTCAACTGAAATTGGAGTCCAACTTAATTTCATCTTTTACAAATACCCTATGAATTATGAATAGAATGGATTAAAATACACTCTAAACTAAAAAGTTTATTAAAATTCTAATGAGGAATAAAGGATTTTGCCAAAGGAGAAGAGGCACTACATTATAAGAACTGGCTGTTGTCTGCAATATGCGTCCTGGGAAAGCCATGACTATTGTTTTTTCCTTTGCAACAGATTTCTCCTCATACTTTTGGTGTACTATGTGCTAGATTGAATCACAAGAACAAGATACAAAGTTTATGTTAGGTAGCAACTCTGCACTGCTAGAGTATGAAATGAAAGTTTTTGCTTTAGCAAAGTAGTCTCATGCTTTCTCTGGAAAAGGAAAATCTTAGTAAGCTAGAACCCAAAGCAAGAAGTGCGTGTGCTTGAAGCCTGTCTTTCTTCATTCTTCCTGATTACGTAGATGTTTCTATGACTGCTCCAAAAGAGACATCTCCCTTTCTTCCCTCCAGTATTCATATGAATTTCAGGTAAACAACATGTACTTCAGAGCTCAACATCAGAAAGAGGTAAAGTCTTCTCTTCACCTCATTGTGTCCTCGCGCCTATCAGAAGAGCCAACCAGCCTCTCACTTGCTACCTACCACATGATAATTTCTTACTAAAACAATATATATATAAACATAAAAATATTTTATACATAAATACATAAAATAGTAAAATAATTTCTATTTTACTATTCACCAAATATAAAAGAAAATAATCCCATGTTCAAAACTCAACCATGACAGAAGATAAAACGAGTTGCTGTGATGTTTCAGTTTCTCCATAGGTTATGGAGCAAGAACAGAGGAGAACTGGTGAACAGGAGAGCCAACCTGTTTTGATGCATCAAAATTCCTACAAATCAACAACCAAACCCAGGAAGCCTTCAATTAGATACACAAAAGAGCCTAAGGAGTCCATATCATCAGAACCGCTTCTAAGCTAAAGGAAGAAGTTAATTTATTTTAGTATTTGAGGCTCTACAATCATGTTAATGTTCCTCTAGCACAATGAACACGAACAGCAAATTCTGACTACTCACAGTGACACATAAAGCCTGATTTAAGAAATCGTCAGACAGGCCATACAGCTCCTACTGAAGATAAGTTGTAATTGTGGAGAAGTTGTTAATTTTTCATGTTTTCAAGTACTGGAGCAGGTTGTCTTAAGAGTTCATGCAGTCTATCTGGATTTCTTGGCAATTTTAAGAATTGAATGGAAAAAGCCTTGCATATCCTGGTCTGTACACACAGCTAATCCTGCTCTTAGCAGAACACTGGACTGAATGACCTCCTGAGGTCTTTACCAAACTGAAACATCCTAGGCTTGTGTGTTCTGTTATGCAACCCCCCAATTAAATAAGCAAGATAACTCCCTAAGATTTCAGTGTTTCTGAACCTTGTTACCAACTTACATGTCTAAGTGGCTAGCTTCACGATACACATGTATGTTAATTAAGAGCCAAATGGAAAAAAAACTGGGACAAAACTGAGGCAAATTCTATTCTTGTTCCTGTACTAGGATAGTCATAAACTGACTTTCAACGTAATACGTACAAAACAGCTTAGCTGCAGTATGGTGCACTACTTTAAAAATGGGTTAGAAAGCTGTGTGCGTTCAGTTTAAAAACTATAAATGCTATAAATACTTGCTCCAGTCAGTCATGAGACTTTCAAAAATGTCTTGCATTTTTCAGGTTTTTCATCACAAACTAATGCTTATTTTGTTGCTGCCTCACTACAAAGATTGGCCAGGTGAAACACTTCTTTTTACTATTTACACTACTGGTTAGCAATAGACTATGCCTATAAATCTGAATATGACTGCTGAATAGAGTGTTTTTGATTCACTGATTTACAGGGAACATCTCCATTTCCTAGCAGAACAACAGAGCAAAAGAGCAAATTAGCTTCATAGATGATGTTTGCAAAGAAGTATGCTGAGTTCTCAACACTGCACAGCCAAGGGCATCCTGGACTCAATATCTACCATCTATCTAATTATGGCAGCAAATTTCTTATAAAGATGTTTATGTAGGTATATATGCAGGTATAAAGGCTACAGAACATTCTGCAGAATCACATAGATCACTGGAGTCGTAAAAGGTTTCAGGAGATCTCTGTAGCAAAAGTACCATACACACTTTTTCCAAAGTGTCCTCCAGTGACCAAATTGTGCAAAGATTCCCTCCTGAGTGGTTTCACTTCCTTGAAGTATGGGGATGCATTTAAAACTGAAGGCGAGATGCTCTACCTGTTGGCAGGGGTTGGGGGTGAGAGATTTTGAACACCACAGAACCGAGTGACACCAGTACTTACTTGGCAGGCGTTATAAATCAACTGATGTTCCAACTTTTTGATCCCTAGAATCTGCTGAAACATTTCATAAAGCTGTTCCTTGCTCAGAATCAGCTCCGATACAGCACTTAAGGCCATTCTATTTGGCTGTTTGCAGAAGTCCTCTTCTCCCCTGTATATGGCATCATACTTGGCTAGCCAAGAACTTAATACTGTCTCTTTGCTTAATCCATCAATTTCCGGCAAACTTCGGACTCTCTTCTCTATGTTTTTCTTAAAAACATCTCTAAAGTCGTTTGCAGAACATCCTCCACTGTGAACCATTCTTGCAACCCGGTCACTCTTGAGAAACACCTTTTGCAAAAAAGAGAAAAGACACAAAAAAATACAGACATTAGAAATAAACACAAGTGCAAAACAAAGGAAGGGATTATTATTACAAACTAATCTTTTGTTTCTACATAAAATGGTTTTGCAGGGAGCAGATACACAAGCAAAGGTTGATATATTTTCATAAAAAAAAACTAAATCAACATGTTCAAAAAATATGTTGCTCTATTAAACTAGTTGGGTTTTAAGGTATGCTACAGTCATTAAGCTAGAATGAAGTTTGAATTAATGGCAGCTAATTTAAAACTTACCTACATGATTACACTTGCCTTTCCTCCATTAAAACCACAGAAGTCTGCAGATATATGCAAGGTACGCATGAAGAAGCCACGCTGTCTCACAACTTGGCAGTATCATGAGTGAAAAAAACATCTTTTAGACAGTGAAGAATTTCATGGAAAGAAACAGAAATCCAGAAAAAAAACCAACCTCTTATGCTAGAGAAATACTGCAATCAAAACCAACAGAGAAGAAGCACTCAGAAGTGCAGAATCTGGTTCCACTACTGCAGATATAATGCTGGGGACAGAGTATGGAATTTGATGTGTTTTTTTTTTTTTTTTAAAAAAAGCAATTAAAAAAAACAACAAAAACCTTCCTAAGTATGCATTAATAAGATAGGACAGCAGATCGACTAAATGAGTATCAGCAATGTGTGGGAGTGGGAGTTTTTCACTGTTGAAGGACAGTTGCACCCAACTCTTTCTTCTTCTAACATGGACCTTGGCAAGCTCGGACTCTCCAGCCAGTGTCTGGCCAAATGATTTATAGCAGCAAGTCTCACTGTTCTTCTATTAAATACAGCTAAGAAGAGGATGGCTGTCACCTGATTGTCAGTGTAAACAACCAACTTGTGCCTGGCACAAGGCATAAACTGCGTTATGGCATTGCAGAGGAAAAAAGCAGGTGGCTTCCCACAGCAGAAGAAAATGGGTCGGGGCCCTGCTGTACTTGAGTGTGGGGGGAGAGCTTGGGTGCCTCACTGAAGCACAACTGAAACACAAAGAATAGACAGGACGGCGTGTGGTCTGAGCATATTTCCTTCTCATCGCCTTTCTGCCTGTTTGCTTTCTTCAGCAGACACTGTGAAATGGAAGAAAAGATAGCCTTTCTGGAGGGCCATGAGGATGATCAGAGCACTAGAGCACCTCCCCTATGAAGAAGAGCTGAAGGAGTTGGGCTTTTTCAGCCCGTGCAAGAAAAGGCTTTGGGGAGACCTAACTGCAGCCTTCCATTATTTGAAAGGATCTTACAAACAGGAGGAATACTGACTGTTTTTATAAGCAGATAATGATAGGACAAGGGGGAACAGCTTTAAACTAAAAGGGAGGAGATTGAGGTACAATGTTAGGTGGAAATTCCTTACTCAGAGGATGGTGAGCCACGAACATACAGGCTGACCAGTGAAGCTGTGGATGGCCCATCTTTGGAGACATTCCATGGCCAGGTTGGATGGGGCCTTCGACAACTTGATTTAGTGCTTGATTTTGTGGGTGACAACTCTACCCACAGCGGGCGGTTGGAACGAGATGATCATTAAGGCCCCTTCCAGCCCAAGCCATTCCGTGATTCTATGATAACCATGCATTTTCACGTAAAATTTTTATTAACCAGAAGCTACTAAAATGTAATGCAGATCACAGCACAGTAAAGCTTTGACTCTAAATTTCACATGATGCGAGACAGCGCACCTAACAAACAACTTCATGTGCTCCTGTGCTTTGTTTTGAAAAGAAAAAGCAGAAGAGCAGGGGAGCAGCTACAAAGCTAAGCCAAGTACAAGGGCTGGGTCAAGAAAAACAGTTTAAAAGCCTCAGTGCTTTTTGATACATCTTTTCTCTGTAGATTTTGTAAAATGCAGCTACTTAAATATAAATATTTCAACAGATACTCTAATTGATGTTGTACTGAAGGGTGCAGATCAAACCTAAAAGAACTTGGTCCTAAACCATAAAACAGCAACAAAATCTGCCAATCACATTTAGTGCTGCAGCATGCTAAATTTCCTTTCTCTGAAAATACAAGTATCTAAGGTTGAACTTTTATCCACAAAGGGAGTTGACATGGTTATTATCAATTAATGCCAATATTAATTTCCTCAAAATGCTATACAAACATTGGATTTCATTTCAAAACAAACAATAGTCTCAAATTCCACTTGACAATAAAACTTATCAACACAAACTAGTACCAGGATATTAACCTTTTCCATATTTCAACAGCCTACAATTACAATAAATTAAAATTCTTCCAAAGCTTACCTGGAAAGAAAACAGACAAATATTTAAAGTAGATGACTTCAGACAAACTGAGCTATTTTATTTTCTTCATAAATCGTATCTTATCCTCTATCATGTTAGTTTGCATAGCTATTGAGAAAAAGCAGATGCAGAATTAAGAATAAAATTCAGAAAACTTACAGGCTTTTGCCAGGAATGTTTATCCAAGGCTGCATAACCTTATGCATCACTACCATAACTGGACCACTCTAATTAAAAAAATGCTAAACACGCACTCTGAGATCATCACCTCTTACAGCCTTCTTTATGTATATTATATTATTTGAATAATATATTATTCAAAACAATTCAGAATGCAGTGGCTAAAAAGCCACTAGCACTTGATTTATGAACCAGATTTATTCAGATTAATTCATAAATTTTTATTTTTGATTTGGAAGTTGTTTTTCTAAGAAATGGCAGGAAAAATCTGTTGTCTTTTTTTTTTTTTTTTCCCCCCCCAGTATTTACCCATGAAATGGTAACAGTATTGTAGCATTTGTTGTCTGCAACACCAACAAAATGTCAGGCAAAACAGATTTTTATACAGGTATGTGCAAATACAAAATACAAACAATTACATAATAAGTATGAAAAAAGAGCTTCAAGATCAATAAAAAACAAAACACATCCTCCAAAAATATGAAGCAATTTGACCACAATTAACATCATTTGAAAGAATGTACATAATTCACCTTTTCAAGAGTCATCAATATTGATGCTGCCAGTCAACTAGAAAATGCCTGCAATACAGCCTCTTTCAGTTGCTTAAATATATACAATAGAAGCAAGCATACTAACAATGACACACGTTACCTTAAAATACTCACTTCTAAAGAGTTTTGTTTATGAACTGTATTTGCATTAATTAATCTGAAGTTATTCCAAGATACTACTTCAGCAAAATATCTGGTGTGATTGCAGGAAACTGCTCAAAGTATAAACCCAAGGAGTGAACAATACCACTAATAGTATCTGGGTGGGTTCTTAAAAGGAACCCACTTGACCTAAAGCTTCATTTTAAGTGGCAACTTAGCACAGTTTTTTTCCTGGGGATCGTGAAATGTAACAATCTTTAAAATGAACCATTTGTATTTGATATACTTAAAAAACAATATTTTAATAGATATTGCATCATTAAGCCATTATTTGCAACAGAAAATCATAAGTGAATGAAAATTCAGTTCGGAGTGTACCATATGTGCTTCTAATTTGACACAAAAAGACACATTAAAAATTATTAAATTACTTTTATTCCTGTTCCAGAAAGACATTGGGGATGCTTCACATTAACTGTAACATCTTTGGCTTCAGCTATATTTCTTGACATTTGTTTCCTCAGTTTTATAGTTTTTCTGAAATGTTTTGCACCTGCTTTTTTCTTCTTCTACATACGAGTTTACAAAGCATTCCTGTTTGGAGAATGTTTTCTTGCCAATGGCACTGTTCCCACCAGCACTACAGAAATCTCATCTGGCTGAGCTATCATGGCTCCAGAACCTTGGCTGAGCATGCAAGACAGGATACATGCATGCTTTACATCACAGGCAGTTCTCTCGACATCATTTGTTTTTGCAATGAAATACATAAGCTCTTACAGGATTATCTGCATAATCACCTCCAACAGGGAAAATATCTGTGTTGATACATATCTCTAAAGCAAAACAGTAATTAAGCACATTCACTGAATTGTCAGCTGTTCTTCCTTTTAATCCCGTATTTGGATTGTCTGATCATGGAACTTATTTCCAATTAAATAATCATTCCAGTGCTAAAATGTTATCTCAAATGTTTGGAAAGAAAAAAAAAACATTAAAGGTTTGAATGTAAAACGGAAAATAACAAATAGTTATTGTAGGAACAAAGAAAACTATTCTTACTGGGAAACGTATTTGACAGATCAGCCAGGAACTTCCCAAGCCCTCATATTATTTAGAAATAATTTGATAAGAGCCAAAGTTTCTAATGAAGCATTTCATATTTCATTTCACTCAGAATATGGTGACACACTGGAACAGGTTGCCCAAGGAGGCTGTGGATGCCCCATTCTGGAGGCATTCAATGCCAGGCTGGATGTGGCTCTGGGCAGCCTGGTCTGCTGGTTGGTGACCCTGCACATAGCAGGGGGTTGAAACTGGATGATCATTGTGGTTCTTTTCAACCCACGCCATTCTATGAGTCTATGATTTCATGTTCTGTCACTGTATTCTGCATCTCCTCAGAGAAATTCTGGGGTGATACTCTCTGACAGTCCCAACTTGAACTTTTAGTCTCATTACTGACTCTTTGAATCTAAGTCACCATCAGCACTCTGTTACCCACAAACTACCAAACACCAAAAAGAAAGGCTCTCTTAACACAGAACATTTCAGGGGAAAAAAAAAAGGTAAAAGCATGTTTTGATGGTTCATCTGTCTTGAGAAACGATTTCAATTCACAACATCTATATCTATCTATCTGTATATACTCCTGGATGGAGCCATACATACATTCTTGACAGCTAATATCATATCATAGCCATTCAAAGACATCAAGGTAAGGAATTAAAAGTTGACACAAAACAAAAAATGCCTCAAATTCATCTTTCCTTGCAATTACAGTAGCAATCTTTTAAATGTATCTACTGAAGTATGGTTTAAACTTCCTTCTTACCCAGTAATTATACTTACAAAATTTCAACTGTTG